TCTTCTTCTTCTTCTTCTTCTTCTTCTTCTTCTTCTTCTTCTTCTTCTTCTTCTTCTCCTTCTCCTTCTCCTCCTCCTCCTCCTCCTCCTCCTTCTCCTTCTCCTTCTCCTTTGAGGTACCAAAAGGCAGCTGTGTTCTCGGTCCAAAGGTACCGGCTCTCCTGCTTTAGTAAAGGAAGGCTTTCTGGCTTCCAGTGATCCGAGAACAACTGGGGGGGGGGGTGCCCTCGCTGTAACAGTTCCATTGCTAATGCCGCCACTTTTGAAGAGCAAAAACGCACCGAGAGAAGACCGCCTCGCATCTGTCCTTCCCCCAAGGACTCGCCCTGCTAGAGAGCAAAGGACATTTGCATCCCTTTCTTCCTCTCAGCCCTGTCCCTTTGCTTGTAAGGCCCGAGTGCCGGCTGAGTGCCGGAGATACCAGAACGGACTGTTAATTGGAGAAGGGCCTCTTGGGATTAATGACATCTCTCCCGGTCTGCCTGCTTTGTCAGATAAGGAGTCCTTCCCTTTTGCGCAACGGCACAGAGGGCCGGCAGATCCAGACTGAACGGAGAGAGTGACGTGTAGGTGGCGACCCGGAATCCGCCGAGCGAGCCTGATCTTGTCAGGGGTCGGAAACCCAATGGAAGGGCCGGGGGTGGGTCTGTGATCCAGTCCTCGCCACCGTTCCCTCGAAGCTGAGTGAGTGTGAGCCGGCTCACAGTTTTTTAGCCTCCGGCTCACGCATTTTTGTCTGAACTCAGGAAGGAGGGCTCCGGCGCAAACTAATTGATGCAGGGGCCAAATTGCTTGCTCACAGCATGGCATTGCAGCTTCCTGGTGTCAAGCTTCGTGCGCGGCCCTGGAGTCGACACGGCCGTGGCTGTGGCGTCGGCCCTGGGAGTTGGAGAGGGTTCGTAAAGGAGGAGGTTGCGGAGGGGCCTCAGATAGGGGGATGGGGTTATGGTCACCCCGTAGGTCCCGCTACCAACATGCGCTGAACACCTTCGGTCCTCTCTCTCTCTCTCTCTCTCTCTCTCCCTTTCCATCTCCATCTCATTCCTTTGCACTTTCCTCCTCCCTGGCCCATCCGCTTCTATCTCCTTTTATCCCCCGCTCCCAGTGCTGCCTGTAACCCCCACCTCCACTATTCCCGGTCTGGCCCCACCCCCCTTGATAAGCCCGGACGCCTTCTGGTCGTCCTGGGCGTGGTTGTGGGTGTGTCGGCGCTGCGGCGTAGCTTCCCCGTCGTCCCCGCCCTTAGCCCTCCCTCAGCGGCCTCTGCTTTGCCGCTTTCCGGGATGGAGCTCCATGGTGCCCGACCGAGGGGCCGTGCTCTGCCGGCGTGGCTGCCTCTCCCTGGGTCGGCGCTGGTCGTTTCTCCCAGGGCTTCCCGCAGCAAGGCATCGCGCTGCGGCCCTGTCGGTCGTTGTGGTGTCATTGCTGCCTCGCTCCTCTGTTGTTCCCCGGGTGAGTGGCCTGGTCGGGGCGTCCCTGGGGGTGGGGTCCTCGTCCCGAGGCCGCTGGACCGGGACACCTGGAAAGGACATACCAAGAGTTCTTTGGCTTCTTTGTTCTTGTGACTGCCCTGTACGAGCACCGATATCAGCCCTTGCGGCATAGTTCATCGGCCTGGGAAGGTCATCTTTTTTTGGTTGGTCGGTTAGTCAAGTTTGAAAGCAGTTTTGGAGTCCTTAAAAACTGGGAAGGGAGGCTTGAGTACGAACAGTGAAATCTCTGACGGCTGGAGAGCTTTGGACTTCTTTGTCCTCGGTTGCTTCTTGTGCTCCACCACGGTTAGCAGAAGCAAAGAAGCCTGTAATTAAGGGCTCCTAGACCTGCAGAGGTGATTGATTTGTGGGGCTGATTTGGGTTCTAAAGTTTTCTCTGTTTTTTGGGGTGTGTGTGGGGGGAAACAGAGGCCGATTTTGCACAAGCCACAGCTCCACCCTCGCTCTTCCCTTTCCCCCCGATTGTATGCGTCAATTACCCACTGTTTGCTGCACCAGCTGCATTTTGACCTGCCGCTTCACCCAATCCCCCCCCACCCCCGTGTCTTCTGGATTCTCAAAAAACAGGACCGAGAAGACACGGGGGAAATCGGGCGAAGCTGCAGGTCAAAATGCGGCCATGCAGCAAATAGTGGGAAACGAACACATATAATGGGGGGGGGGAAGGAAAGAACGAGGGTGGAGCAGTAGCTTGTGGGAAATCGGTCAGAGTTCAGATAACTTCTCCGAAGGAATACCTCAAAGCGAAGAGTATAAATGTACCTACACGTGACATTGGGTATTTGAAGTTGGGTCCCCCAAAATTTGTAATGTAGCCCTCTGAAAGCAGAACTGAGGTACAGATTGGAGCCACAGTGGAAACGACTGGGTTTAACTTTTCTCCTATACTGTTTCCTCAGTCCAAAGTAGCTCTCTTGTGCTCCTTTTAGCCCCAGTAGTGGAGAAAACCCAGGTACCCACCCCTCGATCATGGGTGGCTTCAAAAGGGAATTAGATGGCTACAAGCATGGACGGCTTCAAAAGGGAATTAGATAAGCATATGGAGCAGAGGTCCATCAGTGGCTATTAGCCACAAGGTATAGATAGGGGCTCTGGGGCAAGTGATGCTCTGTCTTCTTGGTGCTTGGGGGGGCCAACAATGGGAGGGCTTCTAATGTCCTGGCCCCACTGCTGGACCTCCTGATGGCACTGGTATTTCTGGCCACTGTGTGACACAGAGTGTTAGCTCTCCTGTGCTCCTTTTAGCCCCAGCAGTGGAGAAAACCCAGGTACCCACCCTTCAAAGAAATTCCTGCATGTCTGACGAGCGAGCCACTTATTTTGAACCATTTCCCACTTTTTGTCTTTAAGGGTTCGGGTCTTGTTCAGATTTGGAGAGATTTCAGGTTTGGGATTCAGGTCCAGTGTGCTGAGGGGGGTGGGGGGGAACCTTTCTGAAATGTGTTTTGGGTTCGGGTTCGGGGCGACTGCCTCATGAGAGTGTTGGTGGGGAACAAGCTGTGTTCAGATGTCTTGTCCAACCATCGTTATGACTGGTTCCTAAGCCAGCTTTTGAACCATGGTTTCCAATGCTGATTTGACATGTCCTCATTAACCTGTGGTCTGTAAAGCGGCCCATGCTCGTTGCCTAAGGACAATTCCATTGAGGACACTTTGGCTAAACAATCATAGGAAGTCACTTTCTGGACCAGAAATTATGACCAGTGAAACACCACCTTGGCATGTGATTGCATCTTTGGAGGCCTCATTTGTACTTTTATTGCTGTGCCCAGTGGTTTCACTTTGGAACAACTTTTTTCTGGTCCTCCTTGTATTTATATTTTATATCTGCACGATTGTACTGTACTATTATATAAGCCAATATGTTCTTCACTGTGTTCGACTTCTGAAGAAGGCCTGTTTTATTCTGTTTTTAGTTGTCGAATCATGGCATATGCCTCTTCTGTTAGCCGCCCTGAGTCCGTTTGGGGAGGGCGGGATATAAAGTTAATAAATAAATAAAATAAATGAAGAAGGCCTGTGCAGGTCGAAATGCATCAGGTCAAGTCCGTTGGCCTTTGTATGTTAGATTCTGGAATTTTTACATGAGGTGGGATTGGGCCCTGATGTGTTTTTTAAAATTCTTTGTTAATAAATAACTAGAGATGTAAAATTTCCAGAAATTTTGAAGCTCGGGAAAAAACCCGTTTTTTTTCCAGTTTTTTTCGGGGGGAAACGGAAATTTTCGGGAAAATTGGAAAAAATGCTACATTAGCATTTCTTTTGTCTTTTCTAGATTGAAAGTCATTCTGTTACTTTAGGAACATAAAAAATGACTATGGACATTTTTACTTGGCATAAATTATCACAACTAGCATATTAAAAATATAGTGTACCCAAACAATTATTACAAACAGAATACCCTCCCACATGCAAAAACAAAACTGAAACCTTTTTATTTTCTTCTGACAATCGCACCTCCTAAAGGAAGAAATGCATCTTGTTCTTGCATTGGAGAGTTCAGTTTGTAACCTAGGACTTGCTTGTCCTCAGTGCACAGAAATTAAATCAATCTGATACCATATATATATGTGTGTGTGTGTGTGTGTGTGTGTGTGTATGTATGTGTATATATATATGTATGTGTGTGTGTGTGTGTATTAGAAATGATTTGGAAAATATTTGAACACCTTGTCTTAAAATATTTTATTTGTCATGTTAAAATAAACGTTCCATAATAAATTTTCTTTTCTTTTCTTTTTTCAATTGTTCCACGTCATGTCTCAGCCCATAATGTTGCTATTTCTGTCTTCCCAGGACGACCCTTTCTGGACCGCCAGTTCCCTCTCGGCTTCCGACGCCACGCAAGCCAGAAACCAGTCCATCTGTAAGCTGGCTGACATGCTGGAGTTGATCAGGGACAATGCCACTGTTCTCTTGAACCTCCATACTTTGCCCTGGGATCATCCGTTCTACAGCGCTTTCCTCAACATCACCCTGGAAACGGTTCTGAGTTCGGGCATACCACAGCAGGCGGTGAGTTCTGTGTCTCTTTTGTAGGTCTATGCTGGCCAATCTCGGGGGCTCCCTCTGCTGGTCAGAGTAGCGGAGGCCGTCAGGGCTAGTGATGGACAAACGGCGTGAGCTGGTTTTTATGTGTTGTTGCTGTAGCTTGCACTTCAAAGCCGATTGGCGACCAAATTCCATTGTGAACGTCTCAGACTCTATCGGCACAGCTGATTCCACAAATGAATCTAGTCACAGCCATTACTATTTAGGGCAGGGGTCCCCCCCAACCTTTTTTGATCCCGAGGGCACAGGGTGGTGGGCGCAGCTATAAAATGCCTGCCGCAGGAGACGAGGCCAGCCACAAAATGTCAGCGAGTAAAGTTAGGCAGGAGGAGGAGGTGGAGATTGGATTTATACCTCGTCCTTCACTCCCCAAAGGAGTCTCAGAGCGGCTTACAAACTCCTTTCCCTCCCCCTCCCCACAACAGACACTCTGTGAGGTAGGTGGGGCTGAGAGAGCTCTTTCGAGGACTGCTCTTGAGAGAACTGCTCTGAGAGAACTTGTAACTGACCCAAGGTCACACCGGGAGCTGAATGTGGAGGAGGAAGAAGAAGAGATTGGATTTATACCCCGCCCTTCACTACCCAAAGGAGTCTCAGAGCGGCTGACAATCTCCTTTCCTTTCCCTTCCCCACAACAGACACCCTGTGAGCAGTGTTCCCTCTAAGCTGAGTTAGTGTGAGCTAGCTCACAGATATTTAGCCTCCAGCTCACAGATTTTTGTCTTACCTCAGGAAGGATGGCTCCAGAGCAAGCTAATTTATGCAGTATCCAAATCACTCGCTCACAAAGTAGAACATTTGCTCACAAGACTCCACAGCTTAGAGGGAACATTGCCTGTGAGGGAGATGGGGCTGAGAGAGCTCTTTCGAGGACTGCCCTTGAGAGGACAGCTCTGAGAGAACTTGTGACTGACCCAAGGTCACACCAGCAGCTGCATATGGAGGAGTGAGGAATCAAACCCGGTTCTCCCGGATTAGAGTCCGCACTCCTAACCACTACACAAAACTGGCTCTCTTAGTAACTTGTCAACATGTCTAAGAATAACTTGTCAACATGTCAGACAGAAGCTTTGTTGAACAGGATGTTTTTTAAGTGAACATATTGTTTTAAAATATTTGCATGTGTAAACACAGCTTACCTTCAGTAACACAGTCATGATCCACCCTGGCCTGGATAGCCCAGGCAAGCCCAATCTCGCCAGATCTCGGAAACTAAGCAGGGTCGACTCTGGCAAGTACTTAGATGGGAGACCTCCTTGGAATACCAGCAGTCGGGAGGCGGGGGCAGGCTCTATTCAGCCTCCTCTCTGAATAGCCCCCAGGCCCTCAGTAGGGGTCAGTCACCAGAGGTCGCCATGACTTCCAGGTGCACATGCACTCGCACACACGCACGCACACACACAATAAAAAAAATACCACCCCCACCCCACAGTCAATGCTCCCTCTAAGGTGTGGAGTCTTGTAAGCAAAAGTTCTACTTTGTGAGCCACTGGCATTAAAGTTATGAGCAGGGGATGAGGCCACTACATATACTGCATAAATTAGTCTGCTCTGGAGCCATCCTTCCTGAGCGAAGACAAGAATCTGTGAGCTGGAGGCTAAAAAACTGTGAGCTAGCCCACACTAACTCAGCTTAGAGGGAACACTACTCACAGTCAAGATCCTTGCACTATGGCGGCAATTAAGCAACTTAAAAAAAAAGATCTGTCCAGCAATGCTCCCTCTGTGGAGTCCTGTGAGCAAACATTCTACTTTCTGAGCTACTGGCATTAAAGTTATGAGCAGGGGATGAGGCCACTACATATACTGCATAAATTAGTCTGCTCTGGAGCCATCCTTCTTGAGCTAAGAAAAAAATGTCTGAGCCAGGGGCTAAAAAACTGTGAGCCGGCTCACACTAACTCAGCTTAGAGGGAGCTCTGCTGTCCAGCCAATCATTAGCCCCGCTAGACAAAACCCCGATCTGGCTCTGCTCACTTAAAAACAAGTTCGGTGGGTAAGAGAAAAAGGTGTCAGTGGGCAATCAGACTTGGCTTCCTACTGGTATTACTGATGGCAAATGATGCCGTCGCATTGCCCTCACTGAATGGAGGAAAGGAGAACCAACACCTTACCAAGCTGCTGGATCAACCGGGCAGAAGCGTTCCCTCCTTCCCGTGAACGGTCGCATGTTGTTGTTGTTGTTGTTGTTCAGTCGCACAGTCGAGTCCGACTCTTCGCGACCCCATGGACCAGATCACGCCAGGCCTTCCTCTGAAGTTTGCTCAATTTTATGTTTGTTGCATCTATGACACTGTCTTACCATCTCATCCTTTGCCGTCCCCGTCTTCTTCGACCTTCAATCTTTCCCAGCATCAGGGTCTTCTCCAGTGAGTGCTCCCTTCTCATTGGGTGGCCAAAGTATTTGAGCTTCAGTTTCATTATCTGGCCTTCCAGGGAACAATAGTCAGGGTTGATTTCTTTTAGGATTGACTGATTTGATCTCCTGGCAGTCCAAGGGACTCTCAAGAGTCTTCTCCAGCACCATAGTTCAAAAGAATCTATTCTTCGGCGCTCGGCCTTCCTCATAGTCCAACTCTCGCAGCCATACATGACTACTGGGAATACCATTGCTTTGACCATGCAGACTTTTGTTGGCAGGGTGATGTCCCTAGTTTTTATCATGCTGTCGAGGTTTGCCATCGCTTTCCTCCCAAGGAGCAGGCGTCGTTTAATTTCATGGCTGCCGTCACCGCCTGCAGTGATCTGGGATCCCAGGAACGTGAAGTCTGTCACTACTTCCATGACTTCCCCTTCTACTTGCCAAGGAGTGATGGGGCCGGATGCCGTGATCTCAGTTTTCTTGATGTTGAGCTTCAAGCCCACTTTTGCGCGCTCCTCAAATGTTCAGGGAAACGGATGGGCTTTAGGGAGGCAAAAAAGTGTTCATCAGTGCCTCCCTCTCGGCTCAGCACTAATGCACATAAAAACACAAGCCTGCTAGTGGTGCTGCATGCACTCCTGCCCTCTGTAATCCAGAATCTATGGGCAATAGGACACATCCATTGGTCTGTGGCGCGCTTTGTTTGGCTAATGTGGCACATCGCTGAGAGTGCCAGAGCAAGAAAGGAGAGTCCCACGTTCACGTTCCGAGTCCGACATGAAGCTCACTTGAGTGATCTCTGGCCAATCACATCCAGTCACATGAGAGCCAGTCTGGTGTAGCGGTTAAGACTGGCGGACTCTAATCTGGAGAACCGGGTCCGATTCCCCACTCCTCCACATGCAGCTGCTAGTGTGACCTTGGGTCAATCACGAGTTCTCTCAGAGCTGTTCTCTCAAGAGCAGTTTCTTTCAGGGCTCTCTCAGCCCCACCTATCTCACAGGGTGTCTGTTGTGGGGAGGGAAGGGAAAGGAGATTGTAAGCCACACCGAGACTCCGAGTGAAGGGCGGGGTATAAATCCAATATTTTCTCTTCTTCTGTTAAGTCGCTCGCTTCACAAAGCAGTCGGAGAGTGATTCAGCAAGAACACAACTTTATTCTTCAACTCGAACACACCTCCAACACGGATCAGCATCTGATAGCCAGAACAGCCTTTACATCGCAGCTGCCCTGCTTTTAAAGATTCCCGGCTAATGTAGCCACACCCACTGTACAAATACCAACCTATGAGGTTGCAGAGATAAGGTCCAATCATATTAGTTCCCGCTCAGGGAGCTTGCTGGAAGTGATTGGCTTGCTACTTCCTGGGCTAGCAATACTATTGGAGGGATTTGGATCCTAGCCCAGGACGAAGCTTACCATTACAGTTCAGTTAGATGTTTCACAACACGTCATGCATTCAAGGCAGCTTTGAATACACTACATCGTCTTCCTCCTCTCAGTGTAACCTACCTCGCAGGGTTGTTGTGAGGATAAAATGGAGGAGTAGAGGGCCATGTAGGGTGACCCTACCTTGGAGGACGAGTGGGATAAACATGACAGTTGGATGGTGGCCTCCTCTTCCAGCTGGAGATCCTGCTCCGCTCTTGGAGGTGGTTCAAGACTTTCCAATTAAGGGTGCGAGTTTTTGTTGCCGTTGTTGTGTTAAGCCTGAATCGAGTAGGAATCCCACACACGGAACAGTGGTCCTGGGGGGAAGGTTCTGTATATAGATTCCATCTGTCTTTCTACCGAGCGACGCTGGCCCCCAGATTTCAGCCAAACAAGCAGCTGCTCCAGTTCGTCGTCGTTCTAGCTGATTGCCTCAATCTGTCATCTTTCTCTCCCTCCCCACCCAAAAATCCCTTTTTTAAGCAGACCGTGTTTGTTTCCCAGTTCCTTCACAATAGATTGTCTTTCAGTGTTGCAGCTCGCCCAGAGAAGCTGGACTCGCTAGTTAGTTCCCTAGCTCTCCCGCACATCCCCCCTTGCCGTGTGACGGGAAAAAGGGGGGTTTGTTGGGAAGTCGGGAGGGGGTGATTGCTGAAAGAGGGGCAAATGGTCCACGTCAGCAAATCGACCTTTTGCAACCCAAGGTAAAAGGTAACGGTTTCCCCTGCTCGAAAGCTAGCCGAATCTAACTCTAGGGGGTGGTGCTCATCTCCGTTTCCAAGCCGAAGAGCCAGCGCTGTCTGAAGACATTTCTGTGGTCATGGGGCTGGCATGACTAAAGGCCGAGGCGCATGGAATGCTGTTACCTTCCCACCGAAGCGGTACCTTTCTTTCTTCTTGCAGTTTCTTGCTTCCAAACTGCTAGGTATCTGGTAGGGTTCCCATCCCCCTGAAATTGTGGCCATAGTTAGGATTCTAGAAAAGTGTGTGCACACACGATCCTCTGTAAGCCGCCGAGAGCCCTTCGGGGGTGGGCGAGGTAAAAATCCCATGTAATAATAATAGTAATAATAATAATAATAATAGGTTCGCTGGAGCCAGAGACGAGAGCTCACTCCGTCACGTGGCACTCGGGTCTCGAACTGCCGAGCTACAGACCTTCCGATCTGC